ATTACACTTCGAGGGAGGTATATGCCTCTCGTCCTTGCCTAAATTGTCGTAACGCGAGTTATAGGCCTCCTTTCCTCCTGGAACAAGTTTTGTTTCACTGGTAAGCGGAGGCGCGAAACTCGCCAGCAGTGCTGAAATATTCATCTCATAGGCGGATATATCGAAGCGCTGGTGGAACTGCCTGGGGCTAACAACATCGTCGGGCTGTGGCCGGCTGTACGCGACTCCGTTGTCCAACCTCTACCTCCCTAAAATCGGTTTTGAATTTAGCTCTGGACTATGGGTAATCTAGGAAGGGCTGGTTATGGCGCGAGCTTAGAGGGGACGTGGCCATATTCGTATGGTAATGAGTTTAATCGCGCTACCGAATTCGAGCTTATGCGTCGAGAGATTCATGCGATGTGGGCACCGCTCCGAATCAAACACACGGAGGGTTGCCCCTAGAAGCAACTATCAACGGCGATAAGGGCAAGGGGGGGGCACTATCTTGGCTTCCTGGGCAACGTTTATCTCGCTGTACATGTCCGGAAGAAAGCCACCCGGGGCCAATACATTCGGATGGGACTTTTGTGGGTCGGTCAGCACCCGAAATCGATATCTTCGAAGCTCAGGTAACTATCCCTTGCGAGTAGTCTCCTGAAGCCTCTGAAAGCATCCCAAGATCTCCAGTAGCATCTCACAAGTCTCTCAGAGTGCCCAATGGGCACCCTTCGACGAGGTCGATTCTTCGCCCATCATACTATGTACCTCAACTCATTGACGTCTTTAGGGATATGCGTGGCTCAACACTACCGATAACTTCATTCTGAACGATCCTACAGTCTCCCAACTCAATACATTCGTGGGTAGCGTAACTCAGCAGGCCACCTCAGTGGTTACCGCCACCGATCCACTTTGCTATGAACAAAATGGTGGATGCTTCTCAGTGTATGGATTCGAGGCGAGTGCCGGCCGTATATCATTATCCCGTCAACTCAACTACTTCCCAGTACAAGCCCGGATTTGATGACGGGGTGACCCTCCTCATGTGAACCTCCTCGCCAATACTCATCTCACCTTTGAAGTACATCACATGGGTATCCAGCGGCAAGGCTGCATGGACAATAAAAGCCGGCGGTGTCGGTGCTGATGCAGCTGTTCAAATATCTGCTCGGCCAGTTCCTCAAGAGCCTATGGTACGTGCGCCCTTGCTCTTACGTCTGGTGACTATACTTATGGGTTTCGATACCAGTATATTATAGGTACGATCCTACTGTGCAGCTATGGCGCTGCTAACGGGGTTCACCGACCACAGCCAATTTGGGCATGTCGAAGAACTTTGGCCCCGTGGATTTGGCACATCTGCCGTTCCCTTGCCATCTTCGCTTAGACTACATCCGAGTATACCAACCCAAAAACTCCATAAATCTTGGGTGCAACCCGCCAGCTTTCCCGACCTCTGACTACATAAATACGTTGCGTGCCCGGTTCCTTGGACACACGGAAACTGGAAACTGACCATCTGCTGCCCGCAGCTACATCGAAGCCTATGAAAACCCGAACCTGACCACTTGGAGGTATGCTCTTCGACAACAAGCTAATCCTCCAGCTAACCGCTCGAAGGGACGACTACCGACAACCGTTTCCAAAATCACGATTTCTCGGGGAGTGCTAGACGGACATAATTTATATGCTACAGCAGACATTTTGTCATCGGACACAGATACTAATATCACTGCCAAATCTTGGATTATATCATAACAACGATAGGATCGATGACAGTAAATTTTATGGTGCAAGTAGGTGCAAGCTCAATGGAAGTTGTTTGGAAGTTGTTTGCAAAGTTCTTCGACACTGCCACTTCACCGCTTATTTCGACGGATCATTATTGACTGCGTGCTGACGTCACTCATGTCTGGTAAACACGTTCCTCCACCACAAAAGCACTCGAAGTTACACAGGTTTCTTGCTACCGCCTGCTTTATCCTTACCTTCATCGTCTTTTCTGTCTGGCTAAGACAGCCCGGACATTTGACTTCTCTAGGGGAAGAATTATTTCGCCTAATACCAACTAGTTCCACAACCATCAACACTGTTAACCCCGACATGACGCACGGAAAGTACACTGTGGGCTAGTACGCGAATCCATTCCAATCCAAAAGCTTCTCGTACTTATCTTGCTTCAGTTTCGTGAACTGGTAGCTGCGCTTCTCCTCTCCGAACGATCCGCCGCTGATACCGTACATTGCAGGGGAATCTACGGACGCAAGTTCCCCCCCTCCCTCATTCCCACCGACCTCACGTAGGATTTCCCGCCTGGATCATCCCCGATGTCTGTTTCTAATCTGCGCCACTATGCCAGCCATATCCTGTATGCCTTTGCAAACGTCAAGGCTGATACCGGCGAGGTATTTCTCTCCGACGACTGGGCGGACAAGGATATCCATTATCCTGGCGATTCGTGGAATGACACCGGAGACAACCTCTATGGTGTTCATTCACCTCAACCCGTAGCTGCGGACCTTGATTAACATTTATCCATTTAGGTAATTTCAAAGCCATCTACAAGCTCAAGCAGCAGCACAGGCAGCTTAAGGTTCTCCTCTCCATTGGGGGCTGGACATACAGCCCACATTTCCACCCCGTTGTCGTTTCGCCCGCTTTACGAGCCAAGTTTATCGAGTCGTCGATCAAGCTCCTCGAGGACTTTGGCCTGGACGGCTTGGACATCGACTATGAGTATCCTAGTGATCATGCACAGGCCGTCGGATATACCGAGCTCCTCAGGGAACTCCGGCACGGGTTGGATCACCATGCAAAGGCTAAGGGTGCTGACTATAAATTCCTGCTCACTGTACGCACCTAGACATTCATCGGCATTAGTGGTTACTTACTTGGTCGTCAGATCGCGGCCCCATGCGGCCCTGATAACTACCACAAGTTGAAGGTCAAGGAAATGGACAAGTACCTGGACTTCTGGAACATGATGGCATACGACTTTTGTAAGTGAACACCGTAGAATATGTATCGTGACTCACCTCGATGCGTCAGCGGGTTCATGGGATAGCATTGCGAATCACCAAGCGAACGTTTTTGGAGGGCCTATCAGCGCTTCGACCGCAATCCACTGGTATATAAATCAGGGGGTTGAACGTTCGAAAATTGTTATGGGTCTCCCATTGTATGGTCGTTCCTTCATGAATTCTGAAGGCCCTGGAAAGCCATTCTCAGGGTATGTCATATCTTAACCGTTGGCTTATTTTGATGGCGGGTTCATTAGTATTGGGCCTGGAAGCTGGGAAAAGGGGGTCTACGACTACAGGGCCCTTCCTCTACCTGGCTCGCATATGTTTCGGGACGAGAAGGCCATGGCGAGTTGGTCCTACGATTATGCCAAAAAGGAGATGGTGAGCTTCGACACTGAAGAGGTTGCGCGATGGAAGGGAGAATGGATCAAAAAGGAAGCGCTTGGAGGCGCTATGGTCTGGGAGCTGAGTGGGGACAAGGGGTCTTCGCGGGAAGGGATGGAGGGAGGTCATGGAAAGGACCCACAACCTGGCAGGAGTCTGGTGAAGGTTGTTCAGGAGGCGATGGGCGCGGCGGACACTGGAAAGAACTGGTTACATTACGAGAAGAGCAGATTCGATAACATGAGGAAGGGAATGCCGTGAATAATGTACATTATATTATAGTAGCGAACTTGATAGTTAGCCTAGTATGGGTCGATAGGCCCTATTTCCGGCCGCCCACTTCTTACCCTGGTCTGCAGAAATACCGGTGGTAATGACTCCCACAGCGGTTAGGATGCCGATGACCCAACAAACGGCATTGAGAATAAAGGCAGGACCTGGTATTCGTCCTACTGTCAGCGCTGCAATAAAACGGGAATAAAATTTACTGACCGAACCGCGCATCTTCGAATGCCGGCAATTTGCGAGAGGTGTGGATAACTAGAGGCGTATGCAACGAGTTGCAGAATTGCCTGGAATGACAACGAGCCCCGCCACAGCTCTCCAGAGGCTCCGCCTCCTCGAGCGTGTGCTGACACCGAGGATGATGGTAACAAGAGAGAGGGCACCAAAGCCGATAGCAATTTCTACCGCATAACCAGCACTGATGTCGTTGAAGGTCAGGTTACTTGTCGAGTATATCTGGAAGCAGCACTTGCCTCGCCCATTCTGTGCAGAACATTCGATTGTCATCATTGCAGCGGTCATTATCGCGGGTTGGGAATTTGCGGCATTTAAAGTCCTCGTATTGTTGGGAGCCTCCGGGCAGTCGAATGGACAGCCGTTCACACACTTCTGTGAGCCCATACTTGCCTTCGTAGTGGGCATTGACGGGGGTGTCGTATCTGACGACCAGCCTGCAAACGCAGAATGAATAAAGAAAGTACATGCATCAGTCCTGGCATACCAGTCATGGCGAAGCAAGCACAGAATACTGATAACAGTGGTGAAAATGACGGCGGCAGCGGTCACAGCATAGGACGTTTTTCTCATTTTCGGCGAGGAGGAGAAGATACTTGCAATTGCAACGAGGCTCGCTTTTATTTACATGTAGCTTGTGCTGCGGCCCTAACTTGAACGCGTCCATATTGACGTCATGACAAGTCCCACAGACCCGCAAGATGAGCCGTCATAGAGGAGACCAAGAGAAGTGGACGTGGCGTTTCGACTGGGTGACTAGTACTAGTAGAGGTGATTGAACTGTTGAATACAACTTTCAGCGGTCAAGCCTGGGTGCATTAAGATTTTGTAAGTCGCTGGCGGCTGAAGTGTCACTGTCAACGGGATTGTACCCGCTCTCGTACCCGCTCTTGGGCTTGAAAATCCGGCATTCTACCCAGCCAGTTGTTCAGCGCCAGATCCCCCGTAGTGGAGAAGACTGGCAAGAGCGAGAGTGCAAAGTATCGGAGGAAGTGGTCCGGGAGAAGCCGGAAGGCGGAAACGCCGAGAAAAGAGCGAAGAAAGATTTGCGAACACCGCATGAGGTCCCAGTTTTTGGGCCGACCATAAGAGGTCTGCGTCGCTTAGTGGTTAAAGCATCTCGTTGTGGTCTTGTCCCTCAGCGAATTCCGAGGAGCCGCGTGTTCGATTCACGCCGCGGACATTTGTTTTTTGCTTTTTTTTGCCTCGTTTTAATTTAAATTTTTTTGGCGCACAATCGATCCCTCCAATTCTGCTTGCAAGGATGCTTTGCCGTGTTCACGTCCGAAATTATGTCGTGTGTCGTTTCTTTCGTATTACTACTACTATTCCACATGCGTAACAAATGATCTACATTTACTACACCACCGCACGCACCACATCCGGGTACGTCTGTGCAATAAGCTAATCGTAGTTGTGAGTCCAAAAAATTACGCTCAGTACAGAGCCAAAAACCACATACAGCGAATAGCGCCGGGGCGCGCACCGCCAGGACCTGCGGGTCTTCGCCCAGCCCGACGAATCTGTGAGCATTCATTCATTAGAGCCGCAGAGCACAGAATGGATGGATGAAGCGTACATGGTCGATACGCCCGCTTCGATGGCGGACGAGAGGGTCAGCGCTGGGAGTGGGTTTTATTAGTCGACGATGGGTATGAAGGAGAGCAGGTTCGCAGAACTCACAACACTGCAGACCGATGAGGAACGCGAACAGTATGACCGGCGCTGTGTAGTCGCCGTCTGCGTTGTACGCTGGGGACGTGACTGCGGGGAGGTCAAATCAATTGATGCGAAGGAGGAGGAAGAAGTAGCACGCACGTCGCAGGTATAGATAGCTGAAGAGCGAGCAGAGTAGGCCCACGATATACCCGCCCCATGTCAGCGCTTTTGGTAATCAGTCAGTGGGGAGTGAGGAGGACGGACGGATGGACGACGTACTCATTCCAACCAGGGAATCGTTGACGATGGCGGAGACACCACGGTCCTGGAGCAGTCTGCGATGTTTCTTTTTAGAGGAAGCGAAAAACGGGAGGAAATAAACGCACCTCCATGTGTCCTTTGCTGCTGCGATATACGGCTTGCCATAGAGCGCTGAAGGGCAAAAATCAATAACAAGGTCCAGTCGTCATATCACATTATATGCGACGCACCGATCTCGATATAGGCGTACCTGCGCTTCATTCAGCACCCAGTGCAAATAAATATTTGAAAATCAACGTACCTATTGAAGTATTCCACCAAGCTCTCGATGATGCCCACAAAGCATGCGGCGCAGCACGCCAGACAGGCCTCGACGGCTACAGATACCCATCATTAGATAAGGAGGGGAGATGGCGAGGGGACGACGCACGGTGCCCGTCGGCATTGGCCGAGTGCTGCGCGGCGTTGAGCACCATCTTGAGCAGCTCGAGGAGCGTCACGATCAGCGAGCCGAAGGCGATGGACCCGAGGGACAGCGTGGACGCGCGCCCAAACGCACTCAGCGTAGGGTGTTTGGGCTAGAAGCACGTTCGTTCAGCTACTAGTATCGGCGTGGAGCGCACACGGATGAATGTATGTACCATTTCGCCCTCAGCCGCGCGGGCCGAAGTAGTACCAGCAGCCAAAGGGGCCTGCGGGAGTTTTAGTGAGTTGTGGGTGTGAATAATATGCGAGTGGCTAGCGCACCTCCCGCGAGCGTCGCGAGCGCGACGTTCCCGATGACCTGCGATGTCCATAGGAAGGAGAAGACCTCGAAGAAGATGAGGCCGGCGACCTTTCCGGAGGAACATCCTCCATCGGTGGCGCAGGCTAGAGGGGGTGATAGTAAGTACGGGCTATCATAGGAGAATGGCGCGGCGGCACGAACAGGGATTCCCAGGAGTGTATTTAGCGTAGCTGCGGGAACGAGCGTTAGCTGGGTCATAAAGAATGGAGGATATCCCTACGTAGCGATCGCTGCAAAAGTAAACCAGCTGTGTAGAGGTTGAGTATACCCGCTGATGAGGAAAAGGACGGCGACGACTGACGCACACTGCGAGCAGCGCCTGGAGGATGAGCGCGAGGAACGCGACGACGTATACGGACATGTGGTGCTTGCTGACATCCATGACGACCTGCAGCAGCAGCGACGCCAGCGGGATGCGCGACCTGAACCCGAAATAGGACAGCACGGAGAATATGGCAATAATGGTGAATCTAAACGCGTAAGTACGTATTCGCGTATTAATTAGCAGCTGTGGGAACGGCGATATCGGAAACGTACATTATTGCCCCGGCTAAATTCGCAGTGTGCATTAAATGTGAGCGCCACCGAAAACAGGGGGCGGGGACGTACAGTAGTATTTTGTTATCCAATAATAGGCTGCGGGACGTGAGGAATGCACGCGACAAGTGCAGGGAGGGAAGCGTACCACAGATCGCTCTGTGGGAGGTAATGGGTAAAGGCACGGGATGGACGGGTTGTTAGACGCACATGTTGAGTATTATAGAGAGGACGAGCGTGACATGCATGATAACTTTCGTGAAGGCGCGGACGAGCATGAGATAGATGGTGGATAGGAGCAGGGCGGCGGCGGTGACAAGCAGCAAGAGGTACACTGTGCTTTGGTTGAGGGTGACCTTGGTGCCGGTTTTGGTCTTTCCAAGGCCGCCGCCAAGCCCGCCATCCTTTACCCACGAGGCAATGACGATCCCGGACAGCGCTGCAAATCCGAGGAACTGGAGGATGAATAAGCAGGAGGAAGATGGGGTCGTTTATTTTCTTCTTGGGCTTGAAGCGATTGTTCTCGTATGGCGACTTGTTGTCGCCGTCATAATATGGTTCGGATGGGGGCGGATACGGCTGAGAGGGCGGTGCGTAGGTATTGGCGTACTGTGGCGTTGGACCTGGGGGAGGGCCGTTCGGGGGTTGGAAGAGGGGCTGCTGCTGCTGTGACCACTGTGTGGGTTGCTGCTGCCAGGACATGATGGTGGTTCAAAAAAGGGAGGGCGGTAATGATACGAGCAGACGTCCCGATCATCATTCAATTCAATTCAACATTGACGTCAACAACATTTATGCTGTGCACTACAAGTACAGTACAGTATTCGAAAATTATATTAGTACAAGCCAAAGTACAGCGCAAAATTCTACCGCCATAGCCCCATTCTTACTTCTTAAACCGAATCACAAGCACCGTCACATTGTCGGAGGTGTGGTTATTGAGGGCGTGCTTCAGGAGCTTTTCACTCGCGACCTGCGCGTCGGCAATGTCGCGTATCAAGTCGATGGCGGATTGATCGCTCGCGACATCCCACAGCTAGCACGGTGAGTCAGTACATCAGCAGTCATACGTGAGACCGGAACGCACCCCATCACAGGCAAGAACCAAAAATTCGTCTTCAGTCGCAGAGCTCCGTCTCGGTCGTGTACGGTGCACCCACCACAAACTCCTTCATCGACGAATCGCCGAGACTGCGCGTGACAGCCAAGACGCCATTGACGCGTCCGCTCATGACAAAGCCGCCGGCATCCGTTATCCGCTTTGCCTCTTGCTTATCAGAGCCTTTGTGGTCATAGGTCAGCCGTATAGCCTTGCCGCCGCGGCACAGCACGCCGCGCGCGTCCCCGGCATTGGCGCTGTACAGGACACGTCGGGATGTCGTGGGCGGAATGACGATAGTTCGCGCCCTCTGCAGAATGCTTGGCCGACGTCGGCGACTGCGAGCGCGGCGTCTTGGGAGACTGCGGAGCCAGATCTGGAGCCGTTTGCAAGGCTCTTGAACGGCCTTGCTGAGGCCACCCTGTCAGAGATTTGCGGGCCTTTTTCTTCGTAGGGGCTGCTTCGTCTCCCGAAGGAGGATCGAGGCTCTCGTTGCTGCTGCTGAGAGGGCTTCCGGCGCCGGACAAGAAGGACTGTTGGCCATCCGCGTCCTCGATACGGAGAAATGCGGTGACGGCGGTGACATCCAGGAGTGGATCTTGCCTGCAGATTCTTCGCATATGCGTGAGAGGCTCTCGTCGACGTTGTGGAAGGTCTGGTTGAGTATATCGGGCACGGGCAGGTCCTGTGTTGTGCTGAGGGCAGATAGCAGATACTGAAATAGATGATGAGAGTGAAATCGGATACTAGGCGGTCATGACGTACTTCGTGGAAGTGGGAGCCACACCATTCTGCGGCATGCTTGCCTGCGTGGCCATCGAAGACTGCGAAGAAGCCTTGGCCGCGGACGCCACCAAAGTCGACGACGAAGGAATATGCGTCCTCCATCGTTCTGCGCGCGCCCTTGTCCTCGGAGACGCCGACCTGGTACGAGGTATTCTTCGTAGCATGGCGGTTGAGGACCTGGGGAGTGTCAGGACGTGTGCGGGTGCAGCAGATGGGTGGCATACACCATGTGTGTCCAATTCCGCAGTTGTTATTGATTTTGAACGCGCATTGGGGGATTCTGTGAAGGTCATTGGAGAGGAGGAAGGCCTGGAAGATGGCGGTTAGGGGTGCTAGATATTATGGTGGAACCCTTACGGTGGGGGGGAAGAAGACATGGGCTGAATTGGAAACCGAGGGTGATTTATAGATATGGTAGGTGGCAAAGCGTCGGGGCCCAAGCGTGATCAAATGGAACAAGGCTAAGAACAATGTTGAGAACAATAAGGGCACATGGGTGTTTCATTGCTGTAGACTGCCAGTGCAATAGCCAAGGCAGTATGCAAAAGCTATTGGATTGCTAGTTCTGTCGGTTAAAGCTATATCGATACAGCTAAAATATACACCGCCACGTGCATCGGTTCTTCTCTACCACCTGTGCATGTCTCTACCCTCATCGACCCCAAAGCCCTCGCTCCAAGGCGTCAGAATAAAAGCAAGAAAGGGCGCAGTAAAGGCCCAAGGCAAAGCACGAGCCAACAGGTATAGAAGGCCTTGGACTGTATCGTATCTATCCCTCACTTTTTTTCAGTCTTCAGGGACCAGCTTTACAAGCACCTCGAAACAGTCCAGGAAGGCGACTTTGAAGCCTTTGCAACAAAACTAGTCCAAGCAGGTTCCACCCTCGAATTCCTCAAATATGCAGACGCCCTCTTCGAGATCCTCCTCGTCGGAGGCCTCATCCAGCCCGGCGGCAGCTACATCGACGACGGCGCACCCGTCTCCCCCTTCACCATATTCAACGCGAAGGAGCCGGCCGAGGTGGATGACTTGAAAAAGTACATCGAGGTCCTCA